CACCTCAGAAGTTCAGAAGGGGTTCCTCCAAAAACATTAAAAGTTGCCTTACAGTCTCTTGAACGGATTCATCTTATCTACTTTTACTTTTTGTCTGATTAGTTAATTTTGCCCTAAGGCTATTAGGAACATCTGACATCAACTTTGCTTCTTTGGAGAATAAGTATGGAGATGTTGTGAGCTGACAGCAGATTCGTACAGTGAGGAGATTGGGGAGGAACATGAGCCACGCCTGGAGTCTGGGGAAGGCTCTGATGAGGGCTCTGTGTTGGAGGCAGAGAGGGACCCAGATCGGTATGCCACTTATCAGCTGCCTTCAGAGTCAGACATCAGCGAGGCAGAAGAAGAGCTGGAGCTTGTTCCCTGTGTGCACATGCACAGAGTGGTCAGACAAAGGGAACAGCTAAAGAACAGGGGTCGACTTGGGAGTAAGGCCACAGGTGGACGATGAATGGCCCCTCCCAGAGGAAATAAAAGAGGAGTGAAAGTGGAATGGAGTTTGCAGGAGACAATTAGTTCACTTAATTGGCTCGTGACTCTCTGAGACTCCTTGCCAGGTTTTGCAGATATTGGCCTGGCAGCTCTCCAAGCCAGATAAGGTCTGTGACTGTAAATCCTCCCTTGAAAGACTTTGTTGGATGTGAATGAGCAGAATTCAAAGTAAATTAATAGGTGGGGTTTTTGTCGGGACCAGGAGTTTGCTTCCTGCTCCTGGGAAGTCTAGGTCAGAACAGGAGATGCCTAGGAGAAATATTCCATGAGATCAACCACTGAACTCATATTCCACAAGACCAGACTGAAATGTGTCTTTAATCCCCAAATGCTAGGAAAATGGTAACCAACTTATAAAGTATATCTAATATCCTTATTTTTACATGTGTTTCAGAGGGAATTTAGGCTCCTTACACCTGCAGGTACAGCTTCGGGATGAGATGGTTCTGCCCTCCATCTACTACCAGCCTCTTGTCGAGCTGTTGTGCCAGGAAGTGAAAGCAGGGATAAAGGTGAGACGGAACAACAGAATAACAGAGTTGGAAGGGACCTTGGAGGACCAACCCTTTGCTTAAGGAGGAGACTCTATATTGGTAGTCCTAGACTAAATTTCTGTTGCTTAGGGAGGTATGTTAAGTGAGTTTTGCTCCCTTTTGCGACTTTTCTTGCCACAGTTTCTAAGTGAATCCCTGCAAGTATTCAGTTAATATCACAGTTGTTAAGGGAATTTGGCTTTCCCATTGACTTTGCTTTCAGAAAATTGCAAAAAGGGATCCCAGGCTGCTTCAGCCATCATAAATATTAGTCTGTTGCCCAGAGTGTGAATTTTGATCACGTGACCATGGGGATGCTGCAACAGTCGTAAGTATGAAAAAGGGTTATAAGTCACTTTTTAAAGCGCCGTTGTAACTTTGAACAGTCACTAAATGAACTGTTGTACGTTGAGGACTATTGTACCATTTCCAACAAATAGTTGTACAATCTCTTCTTAAAAACCTCCTTTGTTGGAACACCCACAACATATGGAGGAAAGTCATTCCACTGTTTAAGATTGATTTAGAGTAGAATAGAATAACAGAGTTGGAAGGGACCTTGGAGGTCTTCTATTCCAATCCCCTGCCTCTTTGTGCAGCCCCTGAGATATTTGAAGACTGCTATCATGTCTCCCCTAGTCCTTCTTTTCCTTAAACTAATCATACCCAGTTCCTGTAGCCATTCTTCATGTTTTAGCCTCCAGTCCCCTAATAATCTTTGTAGACCTTTGTACCATTCTTGTCCCAGGAAAAGGAGTAGTTGGGAGCCCCATGTTCTTATTCCAAACATTTCTAATGATCCTTGGGTGATTATAGACCAGATAGTTCTCTCATGCTAACCTATCTCACAATGGAGCCCACTACTAGGGGGAGTGAGGTGCCAGCTTTGTGATGTTGGGGAAAAGGGCAACAAGCACAGCTGAGTAGCCATTCCATCTGAACCTCCCAATCACTCACTTGAAGAATAAAACTCTTCAGGCCACACAGTCTTTCCTGAGCCTCCTAAGCTGGCTCACTGCACACAGGAGTGGTGGTGGATAGCACTAGCACTTATATACCGCTTCATAGTGCTTTTCAGCCCTCTTTAAGCAGTTTACAGAGTCAGCCTATGGCCTCCAACAATCTGGGTCCTCATTTTATCCACCTCGGAAGGATGGACGGCTGAGTCAACCTTGAGCCTGGTGAGACTCAAACTGCCAACCTGCAGGCAGCTGGCAGTCAGCAGAAGTAGTCAGCAGTACTGCATTCTAACTACTGCGCCAGTGATGGGATTCAATTTTTTTTACTACTGGTTCTGTGGGCGTGGCTTGATGGGTATGATGTGGCTTGGTGGGCATGGCAGGAGAAGGATACTATAAAGTGTCCATTCCAGAGGTGGGTTCCTACCGGTTCGGACCAGTTCAGCCGAGAAATAGTAACTCGGCCTGCCATGCCCCCGAACCAGTTCTCTTGGCGGCGCCATAGGTGCCGTCATCTTGTTTTTTGCCTCTGTGCATGCGCAGAAGCATGTTTTTTTAGTACTGCACATGGGCTATTCCCACCCCACTCCATGGGAAGGATACTGTAAAATCTCCATTCCCTCCTCATTCCAAGGGAAGGTTGCTGCAAAATCTTCATTTCCTCCTGATCAGCTGGGACTCGGGAGGCAGAGAATAGATGGGGGCGAGGCCAGCCAGAGGTAGTATTTACCCAGTTCTCTGAATTGCTCAAACTTTCCGCTACTGGTTCTCCAGAACTGGTCAGAACCTGCTGAATGCCACCTCTGCATTGCATCACCATAGCTCTTAATCATCTCTTATTGCTAATATTGAGCAAAATTGAGCTGCTGGATCAGTTTCTGTATACAGAACAAAGGGCCATGTGTAAGGTGACCAGACATCCCGCTTTTGGCGGGACAGTCACGATTTTTCAAAATTTGTCCCGTGTCCCGCGGCGTGTTGAAAAAGTCCCGATTTTCCAAAAGAAAGAAAAGACGCTAAATCTTCAATTTTAAAAAGGACGCCGTTAAAAAAAAAGTTTTTATTTTTCTGAAGTGTTGTTCCCAATGTGGTCTTTAGAGGGCAGTGGTTTCCCTCCCTCCGCTCGACTTGCTTGCAGCGCCCGACGAGGGGCGAGGCTCCCTCCCCTCCTGCACGTGCACGCCCCAAC